AGACCAAAATAAAACTCTTAGCGTTCTGTGCTCCTAGGTTCAGGTTAGCCACCAACAACAGCTGCAGGGGTTCACACCTTTTCTCTGGGTTGCTCTGAGCGCGTTGCAGAAAGGAGGGCTTGAAAAAGGGCTGCGGGCTCAAGCCCGGGCATCCTTTCTTTCCACCCCCCCTTTAGTGACTCAGAGCAACCTTGTCCCCGCGGGAGGCTGCGGCCTTGCCCCGAGAACCCCCTTCCGCGTGAGGGTTGCCTGCGCGAGAATTAAAGCTGAGGCTGCGACTGCGCAGGGCTACCAGAAAGCAGGCTGCCTGAGTAGCTGAAACGGGGGACCTGCCAGGCGGGCTGAGGGCCACTGTGTGTGAACACTCCGTGGTCGGCGCATCCAGGGGGCCTAAATCCAGTTGCAGCTTGCACAGGCGTACTTGCATGCTGTCAGCAGGGCAAGGCTAGCTGAAGCGGGCTGCACCGGAAATGCAAGCTGCGCACTGTTTTGCACTCGCCTCAGGGGCTGTTGACGATGCTTCTAAGAAGTTGTCTCGCCACCTAGCCTGCGAGGGATGCAGTGTGATACCCTCGGGCTGACAAAGCTGTCCTAGCGAAAAGCTAAAGCGGGCTAGGGGCCTGTCGAGCTTGTTTCTGCTGAGACGAGCAGGGCTACAGAGTGGGCGCGCGACCACGATGCAACCAGGCGGAGGAAAAGGCTAAGAGGCCAGGCTGTGCAGAAAAGCTTGTTTACTCCAGCCTCTGTAGGAGTGTTGTCCGAGCCTGCGGGCATGGCGAAGGAAAGGTACTTGTGACCCAAGCGGCTGTGGGCCATCTGCAGAAGGGCTAGCTGGGCTAGGGTCTCAAAGCAGGCGATGTACTTTTGGGCGTCATTATGCAATTGGGGCCAGACTTCCCGTACCTCAGACATGGTCCAGATTTCTGAGAACCAGCCGCCTATCCCGACGGTGTCCCCTTTTCTGCCATGGCGTCGGCTGCTGACATCAGCGCAGGAGGTGAGGGTCTGACAGAGGCTTGGTGGGAGTAGACTGCACACATGACAGGAGCCAGGCTAGGGCCTTCTTGCTGCTTTTGGTGAGGGCTATTTCGGAGGCTGTGGGATCAGCTATCCGGACCCACAGGTAGGCTTGTCTGAGTTCGGAAGCAGGGGCACATCCGTTTTTCTGCGCACTCTGAGGCTGCCTACCTCTATGACTTCCGCTCTGAGACAGTAAGCCTCGAGCCGGACAAGCTAGCTAAGCTAGCAGAGCAAATACAAGCCCTTCGAGCCTGCAAAAAAGCAGACAAGAAAGCCCTGCAGTCCTGTCTCGACCTGCTCAACTGGGCGACATCTATCAGCCACCACCTCAGGTCATACACGGTGCCCTTGTACTCCGACCTCAACAGCCCCCCATGCAGGCACGCTCTACAACATCCACGCCCGCATGTGGCAGCGCTTCCTGGACAACAGAGCCGTAGTCACCAGGACAGTGCCTGGCCTCCACATCTCAGCCTCCGCCCAGCCGCACCAGACTAGCAAGTCGCCTAGGGCTGCTTTCTTCCAAGAGATGGGGCTTTTGAGACAGACGAGGAGAACGACTAGCAGCGCCAGCTGCAGGTCGCCGCTCCTGACAAGGGCTGCTAACAGGTCGTCCACGTAAAGCCAGGCTTTGTGAGGCTGTTGCGCAAGGAGCTGGTGCGCAATGCGTAGCAGCAAGGCTCCGAGGCGCTGCCACCAGTAGGCTGAGCAGCGGGCTCCAAAGTGGCAGACAGTGTAACCGTATAGCTGTCCTGCAAACTCGAAAAGGAGCATGCCCTGGTCTTGTTCCCTGACCTTGACCTGCTTGTGGGCTGCCTTAAAATCCAGGCTGGCTCCCATCCACATGCTGTGAGGGTCGAAAGGCTGGAAGGAGAAGCAAACATCAGAGACTGTGGGCAGCTGCACGGCTTCTGGAAGGCTGCAGTTGGGGTTGACCTGGCACACTGTGCTGTCGAGTACCAGAGGGTCTTTGCCAGGCGCCTCGACCAGGTTGAGTTTTCCGACTGCTGTGGCTGAAGGCCAGCGGGCTTGGGCTGCCGATCTGCCTCCGGGGATGTGCTGGACCCAACCTGATGCGACTTATTTGTCGATGAGGGACTGGACTATGGAAGGCTTCGCTTCAGCTGCTGACCAGTTGCCCTCGCACATAACAAAAGGCATGAAGTTCTTGGTGGGGCTGTGCCTTCTTGGGCCATTGCAGGCTGGAGGGTATCGGCTCGTGCACCCCTGTAGCGACTCCTGCCTTGAGCATTGGTATGAGGGCCGAGTCCCCGTCACCGATTTGTGTGGCTAGGGCTTGGAGGAGATTGAGGCTGGCCCGGCTCGACCTCCAGCAGGGGGGCTGCATCGCCCAAGCCGAGTGTTTGTATCATAATTGACAAGGCTTCATGCTCCTGTGATTCTGACAGGGGACAGTCGGGCTTCTGCTGGATGATGTGCGCCACAATGGAGGCTCGGAGGCCTGAGCTTTGTAACCAGACAGGGCGCCTGATAAGTCTTAGAGGGGGCTTAGGGGCTTGCGAAGAGTCTGATCTGCCGAGCTGTGACGGATTGCGGGGGCTCAAGGCAGAGGCTCTGGCTGAGAGGGCTCAAGGCAGGCGCACTCTTGCAGGGGGAGGGCTTTGTGCCCGAGGCTGGTGAGCTTAGGCGCGAAGACTGAGGCCAAGGCTTGGGCGAGGGTTGGCGGATATTCCGCCGAAGAGCTGCTGAAAAACCACCTTTAGAGTCCTTGGTGCCTCTTATCGGTGTCCGTGGCTGCACTGGGAGGCTATGAAGCGTATGTCTTCCAACGTGCTGGCAAAGGCCCAGGACTGCCCCAAGGGCATGTCGCAC